CTATCATCCGTCATCTCAGTCATCCCTTCTTGATCATGTCACCTTTCACGCAATCCATCCATCTCTTTCTAGGTCTACCCACCACTTCAATCAAATTTCGCCACATCCAAAGTTTGCTAAAAAATATAAAAAAAATAATATTAGACTCCCAAATTAACCCATAATACATTGTGGTTTTTTTTTGTTAAAAATTTGTAAAGATATTTATAAATCCAGTTTGTTTAACCTCCTTTTGATTCCGTATGATTGTTTTTGTTTCTATTAATTAATATAATAGTTTCATTTATGTCCCTTTTTTGTTTTACGTGATTTTATTTTTTCTTTTTAAAAGTTATTTTTGTTTTGTTTCCTTTATATGTATGTAATTAGTAGTTACTTGAGTGCGAAGGAGCTAGATAAAAATTAGCGCAGGAACAGCCTAGTCCCTCCAGCGTACGCTCATCTGACTACCTTTTGCCACGATTGTCATTCATTCATTCATTCATTCATTCATTCATTCATTCATTCATTCAATATATATATTTGTTGTATATTTATCAAAGCGAAACTAAACAGTTGTGCGATAGTTTAATCAAAGGTGTGCGCGTGCTCTAAGTGATACTTTAGTTAAGAGTCATTTTAGTAACAGTGGTAGTGCCCGCTTTAACATGTTAGCACTGCAGGGCCGGCACGTCCGGTGTAATACCACGACCACACAGAAGACAGCCATCAAATTGAAGCAATTCCGTGTTTCGTCTGATGAGTGTGGTGCCGGAGGCCTAATATAAGTCCCTTTCTCTTTACCATCCTTTTCTTATATGGAGAGTTTGGGAAGGGGAAGTGGATTTGACGGTGGAGGAGATGCATAGGAAGGTGAATTATCCTATTTATGTGCGTCTCCTCCTCCGTCGTATAAGGGTAGGCAACGCATCTGCAATTGCGGATGTCTATGGGCAGCGGTCGCTTCACCATTTTGGCGTATTCCCGTGTCCGCTTGCTCGTTTGCCACCTTATGTTATAAAAAAAAAGTATTCGCTGCAGCTATCTTATCAATCTTCTTATGAGTATACAATTAGTTTTGTTTGTACAAGTTTTACTAATTTCATTGCAAATAAAAGTGTATAGAGATAAAAAGTTGATAACGTTCAAATAACATTTAGTGTATTGTACGTATTCTGTGATATAAAATATAAAAAATTGTGAGTAGGCCATTATTTTGAATTCAAAACATTTTATTCAACACTTACTTTGTTACTGTTTGATATTACGTCCGCGTAAAATAAAAATAAATACAAAAGTAAGTGTTGTTCCAAACTATACAGCTATACTAAATCCGTTCAGTACTTTAGGCTACAAACATCCGTCCATCAGAGATTTTTCCAATTTATTAACCCCCTAAGTTTAATAGCGTGAAAATATATAGCCTAAAGCGTGAAGTGTAGGGATTTTTTTTATATAAAATAAGGGTTATTCAAAAATATGCTGTGATGGACATTCTACATAACAAAGTATTGTCTGTTTACACTTTATTATATTAGTATAGATAATGTAGAAGTCTAATATAGATGAGTTTCAATTTATTTTCCCCAGGGACGGTAACCATAGGTGTAGCGAAGCCTTTGCCGTGCAGCACTGTGGTCGGCGGAGAGAGGGTCGGACAGAGCGCGCATACAAGTCAGGTCTGTACAATACAAACATTATTACTATATAACATATTAATAATTAATAAACGAAGTATCTACATAATTGAGCGTTTTAAACATATTCTCAAGTAAATGAATTAGATTTTATGTGCTAAAGTGTTGATATCTTGTAATTGTAATTATTAAAATGTTCGGATAAAATTTTAATGAAAATCATTAAAATTGTGTTATTCACATGAAATTATGAATTCTGATTTTTTTACCAATAGTAATGTCAATTGTAAATGTAAATTATAGTTTTGTTTAAAATATAATTTACTTTTACATTATAAATATGTTGTAAAAATTTATTTGAAAAAAAGTTATACCCGATTTTACACTTAGATATGGTCTATCCGAGGACTTAAAAATTCTATCCCAAAAACCGTTTTAATCGTATTTTTATGTTTTGTAATGATTACTACGTTATTTTTCCGCAATATGGCAATAGTTTTAATATAGTCAAGCGATGGTTAATTAAACCAAAATGAAATAAACACGGAATTATTTTTAGTGATTAAAAAAATGTTTTTATTTGTTATAAAAAAAAGTTCAAATATTGTACACTGAGGGGAAAAAGTGAAAAGTAAGTCTAACTTTTTAATTTTTATTAAAGCTTTCTCTTCACAAAATGCTTAGAGCAGTATCGACCTGTTAACTCGTAGCATGCTATTTTACTAACCGTTTCCACTGCAGAAACACATACAAAAATGTAGCTATCTCGTTTTATTCAACAAGAATGAAAGAGATAGCTATATATTTTAATCCAAATGTTTCTGCGGTGAAAATTTAAGTTAATCTTTCTAACATTTTTATAATTATTTTGTACAGTAAAGGGAGTTTTTACCGCTCTAATGCATTACTGCTTTTAACTCGATATTTATAACATATTTTTAATTATTATCCCTTTAGTGTACAATATTTCTTTTTGCATGAGTACGGCTGAATTCTGAAACGATTCGAAATATTTCTCTTCATAAGTGTAGCTTACAATCTGATTGACGTCAAAATTTTAATTAATTTAGTAGTGAAATGACCTTATTTAAGAGCGCGCACACCTTTAACTAAATTGTCGCACAACTGTTGTGCGACTGTCGCTTGTTTTGCAGCAAAATTCTTGTTTAGTTGCACAACTAAAAACCGAGTAGTGTAACCTCCATATAAGATGATAGGAATCAAAGCGAGACAACAGTTGTGCTATAGTTTAGTCAAAGGTGTGCGCGCGCTCTTAAGTCGCTGTGATATATTTTAACGTCGTTTCAGTATACGGCCGTTAATCTAATAAAACTTATAATGGACATTTCATATGACTAATGGTTTGTTTACTTATTTTATTTAAGATGCAAAAGTTCGATAATCATCAATTTTAAAGCTTAAAATATGAAAATCGATAAAAATCAATACAAACCGATCTTCAATCGATTTATTTATTACATTACTTTCTGGCATAAACTGGCAAAGCTTTTTATAATTGGTCAAGCTATAGTACATAATATTAATAACTAATTATTAACACGCTCACTGCGTAACAGGCCGATATCGGCCTGACGCGGTACTTAAGTTGGTGCGGACGAAGAAAACTGTTCGTCTCGTTAGTGCCAAACGATTATATCAAGTGTATACATTACATTACATAAAATGTATACATTATGTTTCTATGAATTTATAGCAATTTAATCTATCTTAGCGATGGTGGGTCTATAAAGACCTGCCACGCACTGGTGGGAATATCATTGGGGGCGCATTTTGGCCCGCCGCCGCACCATGATGATTATCAAAAATGTTTGTTTCATCGTTTAAATAATCTATTTATAATTTTTATTCTCTACACTTTTAAAAAACAAATCGTATAGATCTTATGAAATATTTAAACTCGCTTTTATCCCTACAGAGGGTCAGCACAGTATGTTTTCCATACATCTATCATATTTGAATTCACTCTCTCATGGTTTAGGCTAAGCTCCATCTGCGCTCGGCCACCTCAAGCCCGGTGAATCTGTAAATGCCTCTTCAAGGCAAACAGTGACAATTCAGTGAAAAAAAAACACTCAAGTATACCTTTCACACAATCCATACATACTTTCTTCCATACATCTTTGTAGCTACATCCATTTATGTTTATTTTATCTAAATAGTGATTTATTATTTCCAGAAAATCGAATACTTCACTAAAATCCTACGTCTCATTATGTCACTACATCGTGATATTATGGAGTTACAATTGCAATGTGGGCAAGAAATACACGTACCTTCATACACAGCGCCCAAGATAAAAGCTGAAATTACAATGAAATGACAAACGGACAAATGTAATTACACTGTCAGTATAGAAGTACCACGGAAAGAATCAAAAGATGTAAAAGATACTGAAATGAAGATTTAAAAGAAAGAAAAGTAACTGACTTCAAGACGAAGAGTCAATCATACTTCATACTAATATTATAAATGCGAAAGTTTAGATGGATGTTTGTTAAGAGTTTGTAGATTAAACGATTTCTATGAAATTTGGGATATAGAGGATAGTCTGGAAGAACACATAGGCTACTTGAATTTGTTTTTTTAGTTCCTCGAGGAGTCGCGGGCGAAAGCTAGTAAATATATAAAGGAGGAGAACACACTTGAAATTTCCACTCAATCACTAACGCTACCTAATTCAAGTACTGAGAAGCGTCTCTGCGTAACAAATTTGACTTTGAGATATTACCTTACAAAGAAGTTACCGGTGAAAAAATGTTCCCAATGTCAAGTCTATATATTTCTTGACTATCTTTGCTTGTTTGTTTTAAAAAAATACTGAATAGTTTTTAATTTTAAAGTGAAACCAAGTGACAGCTATTTCATTATTTTTATTATTATATGTTATTGACTAAAAGTTAATATTTGCATTCGCAGATGTGCTTGTTTCGCTATTTTAGCGAATTCCTTTGGATATTGTCACCTTATACTATAAAATTGATATCTTACTAATATTATAAATGCGTAAGTTTAGATGGATGTTAGATTTGTAGCCTAAACTACTGAAATTGATAAAAATTGTCACAGATGTAGAGGATAGTCTGGAAGAAGACATAGGTTACTAAGTTTTTTATTTCCGCGCTGTAGACATTTAGTATTTTATAAATGTAGAAAATATATTTCGTAATATTTATAATTTTTAGTTTTAAGATAGTGTTTTTTCTCAAATTTGCAAGTTGTACATATCCGCAAAATTCTTAGTTTAGTTTACAAAATATCTGATGTAGCTGTTGATCGTAAATAGTTAATGTTTTTTAATTAATATAGGGTAGGAAAGGAACGGGAATTTGTCGGAGGAGGGGACGCACAGTAATATTTTTTTTTTACTTTAAAATTACACATAATGTTTTCGTTAGTTGATGGGACATCCTTTTAAGTAATGTAAGTAATATATTTCCATGTGAAAGTGTAGATTTAAGATGAGCATATCTGCAACTGCTGATGTCCTCGAGTAGAGATAGCTTCGCCATTTCGGCGAATCACTAGTCTGTTTCGCGCTTGCCACCTTATGATATAATCTTACTAATAACATAAAAACATAAGTTTGTATGTATGGGTGTTTGTAAGAGTCCATGCCCTAAAATCTTAAACGAATTTGTATAAAATTTGTCACAGATGTAGAACATAGTCTGGAAGAACATAAGAACTACTATTTTATTTAATTCCACGTGAAAGGAGTCGCGGGATAAAGCTAGTATAGAAATAAAAATTAATAACTATTGTGGTGATTGTTTAAATTATTGTAAATTATCTATAAGTATGTTTAATTAGTAATCGGTATTTTGTAATATTATTGCCAAAAATCTAGTGTGAATTTTCATATGTGAAGTTGTTAACGTTACAAGAAAGAGACAAACTTATGCAACATTAAGAAGTGCGAAAGAGATAAATGCATATCTCACTCTTCGACGTTAGTATGAGAGATTTAAATAAGCGCATGTCGCTTTTTATAGGGAAATAGCCAATTAAATGGTCAATTTCACTTATTGTGATATTATTCAGCTTATAAATTTTTATTAAAATCAATTAGTTTATTTTTAATTCTTATGAAAATTTCTTATATTAATTTTCAATAATTTGAGCTTAAACACACCGTCCATTTGTGACTTAGGAATTGTTTGCACTTTTTGGAATTTTATTCTTTTTTTCTCTTAACACTTCAATGCCAATGGCCTGATAAGTTCAAAGACGGAATTGCGGCGGCAAAGAATGTGTTAAAATTTTATTAATGTATTTAATTTCATTCCATTATTTTACCATACAGGTAAATCTTTACATATCATAGATTAAGAATATCGAGAGAATGTTAATATATTAAAAACATAGTAAAATAATTAAATGTTTAGATTTTAGTATAATTACGAAAATAGTTGGAAGGAAACTTTTTCTCCTGTGGCCTTGTATCTGGCATGCAACGACTCATCAACCCACACGGTGGTTCCCATACCGGGAATCGAACCCTAGCCTCCTGAGTGAAAGCCAAGTATCACGTCAGGGTCACCACTAAAGACACATCAGTTAATAATTCTTTACAACATTCGTCTTACTAGATAGGCATGTCACCTAATCTATACTATTATAATTAAGCGTAAACACACACTTCTTTGTTGCCTAAGATGTCAGCAATTACAGCATATTTTTCAATAATTCTTTATTTAATAAAAATCCCTACACTTACGTCACGCTTTAGGCTGTATATTTTCACGCCATTAAACTTAGGGGGTAAATGTTTTGGATAAAAACCCTAATGTGGGAAAGAGAGTTTTGTCATGTCATGTAATAAAATTTTCATAATTTTATGCGGATGAAGTCGCACGGGAACAGCTAGTGACATTATATTCGTCCACCCGTAACATACGAAGTTGAGTCGTTGCATGCCAGATAGCCATACTCCTAATTTATCCAAGCCAAGATGTCTTATTTTCTAGAGCTTTGTGCCTATGGTTCTTTTAGCTTTTTTACGTTTCTAAACATACGTCGACGGCAAGCCTCAAAATGTTGTCAAAGATTGTGTTAATCTTACTAATATTATAAAAGAAAAAGTTAAGACGGATGGATGGATGTTTGTTACTATGTATCTCTAGAATGGATCATGCTGCAAAGCACAGATTTTGAACATAGTCTGGTATAACACATATACTAATTAGGTTTTTTTTTCAAACCCACGCGACATGAGTCGCAGACGATAGTTTCAAAAAACTTTTTTCCAAAAACTCTAGGTCTAGAATTATAAGATAATTTTTGAAAATTTTTACTCTAAAGTTTAGTTATTAATATAAATGTAAAGATATAGATATATGTGTTTAGATTCATGTTTGTATAGCTGAAAGCTGCACTAATTTGTTGACGGTTAAATACACACAAAATGTACTAATTTTTATAATTTAAACCCGCTATAGACGTTCAGTGCTGACAGTTTTATCTTAAGAGTCGAAATGTTCAATAAAACTGTGTAGGCAAAATGTTTCAATCGAACATACAGTTGTAGTTTTTACAGTTGTAGCCTATATACAGTTTTATTTGAACAATTCCAATACCGTCTGTAGCAGGCTTTATTTCTATATAAAGCCACAATTATTGTTATAATGTAGTGTATTTCTCAATTTACTGTAGAAATCTAAATGTTGTAACACGAGCTTTGTTATGTATTGCAATAAATGTTGTCTACAAAAATGAAAATGTTTTTTTTATTTCTGTTGTCAAAAATATCCTGTGGTTCATTCTAAAATCCGGAAAAAATATTTCTCTGAGTGCTAAAGAATATAGTATATTTTCTGACATATCCATACCCTTCCCGATTATTATCAGCCTATGTTACTTGGTGATTATGTAACGGTCTATGGTATGATTTTTAATCAGTTCAGTAGTTTCGAAATCTTTTTTT